TGACAGCCGACACGGACACCGGCAGACTCAGACCATAGCATGGATGATGACTGGGAAGATACCACATCCAACGGAGAAGTCGCCTCACTCGCTGAAGCACGGAGTACTCCGCCCGTACCACCGAACTCCCCAGCTCTATAGACCCGCAGTGTTCACCGTGCCCCATCGCGATGCAACCATCTATCGCAATGGAAGCCACTGATGACACACCCGTATTCGAGAGGACACCCAGTGTGCATTCATTGCGAGGGAGGGTTACAGGGAGAAGAGACAGGCAACATAGACAAGCAGACCCAAGCATCACGCACCCGCACTTGCGCACACAAGATGTTTACCACTGTCGATTGTCATTAAAAGCGAGTATAAGGGTCATAAGGGTCATTACATGTCGTAAAGAGCCGCAATCAACCGTCTACGGTAGGGGCTCGGTCTATGGAAAGCTAGACAGGGAGTCAGCGGAAGGAGCAAACAGAGTACACAAAGAAGGACATACTTGGAAGGGGACGATGAACAGGGCCCATGGCTCGTTGCCTCCGTCCCTGAGCTCTGGACATCGCCGGACGAAGATGTGCTGCCAAAGAAGTTAGGAGTTGAAGATGGACGAAGAACACACGCGACGCACCAAGGAAAGGAATAAGTTATCACCACCCCAACCGACCGTTCTTGAACGGGTTGGCACCGTGTATGGCCATCTGTCCCCAGCAACGTCAAGAACGTGTTACCCACCCTTAGCAGAGGACGTACGAGGTCGGTCGGATCACGGAGTCACTCGTCCCAGGGCTAGGCTAAGGACGAGGCCGTACAGTGGAGGAATGGCCCAGGAGAAGGAGAAAGTGGACGAAGGGAGGAGAGGAGTGCACGACGCGCAAGTTATTCAGCACGCACGAGCGTTAGTCGGCCATCAGGATTACGCATGGCAACCCAGGCTGTGCCCGGCATCAGCGCACGACCCCGCTCATGGGATCAGAGAAGAGAAGGACATGGAGATCCCGGCGATCAGGAAGCACTGCCCTATTTGGGAACTGGAGATAGTCGGCGGAGCTCGGACTTACCCGGCGGAGCTCGGCGATAGGTTTACCGCAGCACAGAAGCACACATGAGATGAAGAAGATGTATCAGAAACGCCCAAGAAGCCTGATGTCTGCCATGCCATAGCCACGAGGGCTTGCGTACTGGAGAATCAGCAAGGGAGTTCCCGGAGCACCACGGAAGAAGTAGGAGACACCACGTGCGGAGCCTAGACCATTCCCATCGAACCCGCCCCGACCAGATCCCTAGGAAGGCCTGCCAAAATCTAGATCCCTTAATTATTGGATTGAGAAGCCACTCACGAGCCCGGTGCCTGATCTGCACTCCCGGAACCTAGATTGGCATGCCTGAATACTCAAATGCCAGCACCGCCACATGCAATAATCCACCGACTGCCCCTGGCCCTCCAGGAAGACAGTACCATGGCCGACCCAATTTTGATTAAATTATCAAGGCATGCATCAATGTTCCGACATAGAAGTGGCCCCGACTACAGCAATGCACCTATAGCGATGGCCAGAAGACACCCAAATGTTCTGGAAAAACCAGGAGATATCACAGGAAGAGAGTACTCGGACAAGGACACACTCGAAAACCCTGGAACTCTCAATGCACCCAGAACCAAGCTCTGGGTATTTCTGGTCGCTCCGAGACCATACCAGAGATACCACCCATACAAGCTTGTCATGGAAACACAGTAGGGATTAGAAATACCAAGGCCTAGACAGAGGAAGACAGAAGGAGACAACCATTCCAGGCCCAGTTGTCAAGAAGACCAAGCATCACCTGAAGGGTCATGAGGACTTGTACCGGAAACAAGCTTCACGGAATTATCTGGAACCTACCAAGGATGAGTCAAACCATTCGACAGAGCGCACGGGTGCCATCCGCATCCGAGTTCGAGCTTAGGGAAACGGGACAACGGACTTAAAAGGGGCGTGCATTCAGGCCTGCCATCATCACCATTTTAACTGCCCATCACGCCTTCCTACCCTCAGCCATTCACACTATGTCCCTCTCCCAGCTCACCGCCGACCGAATTCCCCATCCCACTCATCCTGATCGGTTTCGCTATATTCATAACTTCCATCGCTACATTTCTCGCCTCCCTTCTATTCCTCCGATTGCTCCGCCTACCGTCACCGCCGCCGAGTCCGCCTACTACGTGCCCGGATTCCAGGCACCGTGGGACCCTAATACGGAGGTGGACATTTATCTTCTTCACAATGCCATGCTCACCACCGGTAGCCGAACCCGCATCGGCAACGGAGCCCTGTATTTCGAAGACCCCACCTATGCCACCGACCCCGCCATCTCACCCGACCACCCGTACGACGAGCCGCCTGCCGCGCGCCCCCTTCTTGCGCTCCCGCCCATTCCCGCGGACGAGTCGAACCACAGTGCAGAACCCGCCACCGACCCCACCATCGTCAGTTCTCTCGTTGCAGCTCAGCCCGCCGTCATCAATCTCCGACTCCCACCGACCGCCCCGAGGGCCCCGTCGTTGGCGCAGCTACAGACTGAGCTCGCAGCCCGAGACCCGGTACCCCGCATCGAGTATCGACCGAACCACGACAATGCCTTGGGACGGGCCATCGACGAGGCCTTTGCACGCTTCGAGCTACACTACACCGACCACAGCACAGGTGCCCGCCAGACCACGGCACCGCTGGCACCGCCGCCCGAGTACCGCCAGCATGCGCTCGATAAGAGCCCGCGCGAATCGACGGCAGCACACGACACCGACGTCAGGATGGCCGAAGAACAGGAGGGCCCAGAGGCGGGCGAACTGCGCTACCCAACCGACGAAGAAGTGGACCAGCTTCAAGCCGACAGCGAGCAGCCAAGCCCGCTCCACACGCCGCTCACCCCCTCACCGGTAGTCTCACCGCTCGGCTCACCTCGGGAGCTCACCCCGGAAGAGTCCTCTGATGACCCGCCCACTGTCGTGATTCTTCGCCAGCCGTACAACCTGCGCCCACGCCCGCGCCCGACTACGCACCCAAGCCAGCAGTATGCGCGCCCTCGTGCGTATATTGTTTGTTTTTGAGCGCATCAGAGAGCTGCCGCTGATATGATCGCAGCTTCAGCACCTGCCTCTGTCAAACGCCGTCGTCTCGCCCGTCGCAACAAGAGCAAGTCGCCGGCACGCGGCCGTGAGCTCGCTCTACAGACCCTCGAACGAACCACTCTCAACGGACTTCTCGATGTGCCCCCCCGCCTTTGGACGAAGCGCGAACGCCGGTTTGTTCGCCTCATCATGCGCTCACTCCACCGCGCGTCCGAGGGCGGCATCGGCCATGGCGAGCCGGCCAGCATCATGAACCACCGCCGCAGCTCTCGCGCCATGGACATCGACACCGACAACTAGGCGTCTTTCGGACGCAGCCCCGCACCCATTCCTCGCACCTGGACCAGACCGTGAACGGAAGCCGTGATCATGTATGAGCACAAGCCGAAGAAGTCGCAATACGGAGAGCTGTAGGATATCACGCAGGACTAGGACAAGCACACGAACAAGCCGAAGAAGCCGCGAATGTGTACGAGCATACGAACAAGCCGAAGAAGCCCACTACCCGGAGGTGTACGATACGAGCGGCCACTCCGACTCCGCCACCCCGCCACGGTACGCGAACAAGCTATGACTACCGGGTATACAATGAAGGGCGGTAGAAGAGAGGTCCGCGCAGTAGCTGATGTACTGAAGCCTGTACCATTACGAGTTCATTGTGTTCTGTGCCCATGACCGTGTCAGAGGCGTCAGTAGGCGATGCTGCAGCACCGAACAGCAAGAGCTCGTCTGGCCACACTCGGACCAACTGGCCCAAGCGAGTGCCAGTACAAGCACCTGGTCCGCAACTCCTGCGCACGCGAGAAGGGGCAACAGATAGGGAACGTACCTGTACGGGCCCGCCGCACCTGACCTGCCTATGGGTAGACGCTCAGCCATGCCTTAGACCAACTGCGCGACCCCCCAGATGCTCCTAAAACCCGTCCGTCATGTCCTGAATGGCGAAATGGCGAGCGGTTGATAAGGCGATGAAACGAGTCGCGCTTCGAGTCAGATAAGCGCCGGCCGAGACAGCGCAGGAGGAGGGGCCGGGGACGAGTCCTGCACGTTCCAGGACACCGATGAAGGCGAAAATCGAAGCCGTATCTGTTCTTGAGACAGAATCCTTGAACGGCAGCCGTGGCACGGGCCGGGAGAGGCTTCTGCCCTTTGAGCGAGGCAAGTCTACTATGGGCAGCGAGTCAGTAGGGAGCTCAGTCGAAAGGGAAACTCCCTCAGAGGCCTTAGGACACGATTCTTATCCCCTCCACAGAAGAAAAGACAATGATTGGCCTGCTGAGGGAGGCTGGACGCACCTGGGGCCGAAATAGGCGCCGAACCCGACGAAGGACGTCTTCCATTGCCCAGCATGGATAGGGAGTGCTAAGGTCTTCTGTTAGGCCCAAGAGACTGCACAGATGTCCAGAAACGATGAAGATGTCGCCTGTTGAGGGTAGCTCACGAAGAAACAACCAAAACCTGCGCAAAAATCGATCAGCAATCGTCGCATCACCCAACTCATGCATGAGCGGACCTTCTGACGTGTTCGCACGACTCTGAACACGCCAGAATACTCCAGAAAACGCCGAAGAATGTTCAAGAGAGCGAAGGAGGAAGGAGGAATGTCTCAGAATACACAGGAAGGGAAGGACCCCAAAACGCGGGCAAAACGGACAAGCGAAGCAAAGTAAAGCATGATACACACCTGGTAGCCCCCCAACGGGTCTGTAGACCCAATATCAGCCGTTTCCCGCCGTTATTTCGGTCGGAAACGCGTCTTGAAGGAAGCCAATACCCAGGGAAGCGTCCTGGGGCCCCTTCCGAGTTCGTTTCCCCATCCCCATAGTGCGAACGGCCCAGGACGGCCAGCAATGATGTGTACGTGCTTGAACGAGCGTTTCTGAGGCCTGATAGGGCGTGTGGCGAAGAAAATCCGTCAGGAAGCGACCAGGAGGCCAGGAATCGCCCGGAACGCAACCAGCATGGGCAGGCGAGTCCTATCGAGTCAGGAATCGCCTAGACGGGCTCATAGCGATGGTCAGAGCTCAAGGAAGATGAGAAGAGACGACGAAGAACCCAAAAGACAGGCTAGCATGAGTGTCAAGCTAAGCAAGCAGTAGGAGCAACCAGGAGCAGGCATCCACATTCACCACTTCAAGGAGCACGTGCCCCGGGGCCCCGGGACCGGCCCAGCGGGCGCCTAAAAGCCACGCGACTTGCGCCTACCTAAAATGGATAGCCGGTATGCCCGACGACAGTACGCGCGTACGCTGCATGGTTCTCGACAATTCTGGAGCTTGCATGCATGTCGAAGAAGTGTAGGGCTTTAGAATATACTACAAAAGCCTTACCCGCCCTCGAATGGTCTCGCAAAATCCGGGACACGAGCTAGAAACTTCGAGACTGGTTAGCCCACTAGTATATTAGCAGGGGTCTGCGCTGCGAACCAGCCCATTTCCCTACCGCCCCAAGCCAGCCAACACTGGCAGATGAGAAGATGAAGGATCAAGTCCTGGAGAAGCGGATCAAGGTGATTGAAGAACAGGAGAAGCAGAGACGCATGTTGGCAGCCCGCATTCTGGGAAGAACAAAGAAGCCTCGCACACGGAAGCAAGCCATCATTCAGATGATCAGGCACGCTAAAGCAGTCAAACGAGCACGTGTTCGTGAGATGCATCGCCCCATGTTTGGCACATCAGGAAGACGAGGCAGGTCACGTATGACAGAAGGGTAGAGGATAGAAGAAAGGATAGAAGTTCAAGTCATATGACTGTGGGGCGGACGCATACCCAGAACTCTAAACGCAGGTTGTAATTTATGACTGCGGGGCGAGCCGGACCACCCAGCAACCCGTGTTTGTATAGGACGGAGAATGCCGAAGAAGCGCGCAGCAAGCATCAAGATTTACCATTGATCCCCGATCACCCGCGAAGCCGTTTCACAAACACATGTGTACCAGCCACCTCACTCTCCCCGATACCGCCATCACTGTTCCCCGACGCGCTCAGACATGCCCCCGATCGTCCCCGCCGAACTCCCCGCCTACTACGTCTTCACCATGGAGGGCTATACAACGCTCGTCTATGACGGCGGCAGGGACGACCACCACGTCTACCTCCACTCGCACATCCGCCTCTTCAATCCGTTCCCAGCCACTCGCCCAATCGGCTTCACGGGCTACGTCGACCGCATCGTGCAGTACCAGCAGGACTTTGTCGTGCTCGCCGTCATCCCGCAGCACCTCCCGCATTGTGTTGTTCAGATGACCGTGCGCTACCAGAAGCTCGGAGGGCTGCATGGGTACTTCGCCCTCGCCATGTCCAAGGTCCTCGACATCATGGGGCATCTTGCGCCCAACAGCACCCACACCATCCCCGTCGCCACGGCCATGTACCCACTGGACCCTGCGCTGCGCGGCGAGCACCTTGCACGGATGCCGACGAGTCCATCGAGTGCGCGGATTGGAGTGTGGTATGTCTGCACTGTTCTGTATCTATTTCAGCCCGCTTAGTATCCCAGCAGCAGGCAGAAGTAGTACGCGTGTATGACTGGACATTGTACCATATATGTATCCCACGCTGTCCCCGCTACGACGTTAAACTGGCCACCCCCGCACCCGTCGCATTGCAGTGCACCCAAGCAACCCAAAACCAGCAACCTGCCAACACCAGCATTACAAACAAGTCACACCCACCCTGTGCACGCAACATGTCGTACCCTATGGAGAGACGTCCGATTGTCTTTCTCATCATTGAGGACCCACGTGACCTCCTCGATGACTCAGCAACAACCTCAGACACATGCGCCCCAGACCAAGTGTTTGGAGCATACAAGCCAGTCGACCGCAGAGTCAAACCGATACCTGGAGTCTTTCCAGAAGATGCACGTGTTATACGCCAGTTCCCGGAGAACCCCCTGGACACGCTGCCATCACTGCCGAAGCAACCACCCGAGTTTATACCCACCCAGAAGATTACCATGGAGAGAATAGAGGAGATGAAGATCAACAAGGATGGATTCCTATGGCCCGAAGAAGAAAAACTGTTCAAGCACATCTTCCGACTCAACGAAAGGGTACTTGCATTTGAGGAGTCGGACCGCGGAACCTTCCGCGAGGACTACTTCTCTCCCTACATCATACCCACCATCCCGCATGTACCCTGGGTCGAGAAGAACATACCCATTCCACCAGGAATACGCGAGCAAGTCATAGAGCTGATGAAAGGAAAGCTGGAAGCAGGAGTATATGAGCGATGCCAATCCTCGTACCGGTCCAAATGGTTCTGTGTGTTGAAGAAGAACGGGAAGCTCCGACTGGTCCATGACCTTCAGCCTCTCAACGCCATCACCATCCGAGATGCAGGACTCCCGCCAAGTCTAGACGACTTTGTAGAACCATTTGCCGGGAGACAGTGCTACACCGTACTCGACCTCTTCTGGGCATTTGATGCACGCAACTCGACCCAGTCAGCCGTGACTCACAGCTTCCAGTCACGCTAGGACTG